AGGGCAGCAGTAATGACAACGTTCCTATAGATTCTCATGTGTCATTTTGTAGAAGTGCAACATAGACAAATATTTCATTTTGACTCAAATCAAGTTGGTGCAATCCGTACAAGCCTGACTGCGCTGCTAATGCTCTTAATGATATTTCAGTTGACAGCTTACTTCAAATAAATGGTCGGAAGTATAGTTTCCTGCACAGGATTGTAGCATTGCCAGAAGCAGCAGATTTTATAGGACATAAGAAGAGACATTTCTGTATAGATGCAGGAATGGATGTGCAGTTTGAAATAGATCAGCAGTTGTCGAGAGTATTTTGTACAGCTACAATTTGGCATAATGTAGTGCAGCTGGGGTTGTTATGGCTTAGCTTTTCATTTGTATATTCCTAGCTAGAGCTAGCTAGCTTAAAAAATGAGACTGATGTAAGTAAGTGCATGCTGTTACCTGAATTCATTTTTGTAGACACACCCCTCCGTCCGTCCAGCCAGCTATGCATGTTGTTATTAATGTATTGGAGCATAGACTGTGTACATTTGTGGCCCGCCAGCCTTCCCAGTAATTTTTTCAAGAGAGCAGCAGTCGAATAAGGGGCTAAATCATTAAGCCTGAGGACTAGGATTTGTTTTGGTAGAAAGGTTGAGCGTAACGTAGGTTTTGAGTCCTTTGACCTAACCCATTAGTGGAGTACTTTTTTATGTCCTGGAAAAAAGAAAAGAACCTTTTACATTACATGCCATCTTCTTCCGCCCAGACTTTAATTGAGTAATAAACTGCCGGAAATGCGGCAGAATCTGTGATATGTGGGGATAAAGAACAACAAAAAGTCTGACTTGCAGCAGAAAGCCTTCAAGCGTCCAAGAAAAGAAACCTAAATGCAGACAAAATACGAGAGACGAAAGCAACAACTTGAATTTGAAGGATGTCTCTACCAGTTGGTAAAGTACGATGATAATAATAATAATTAATGTTTACTAATTTACAATCCAACAAATGGATAATGATTGATAAAACGGCAGAGAAAGTGCGGCAATTAAAGAATCCAATTCCGCATTACCAATCCAATGGGTTCAAAGCGTCAGCCACTGAGGTAAGGAATGGGACGCCACACTTGAAACTAAGGACTCAGGACCAATGAAAATCACAAGACTCGCGTCAAACAGAGTCCCATATTCCCCACCTTGGATATATGCAGCTTTGGACCAAAACTTCCGACGGCCTACCTACCCACTCGACACCTCCAAGCTCCAACAACAACCCAGAAAAGAAAAAAAAAAAGCGGGGGAGATTTAAGAAGATCACAGGACCGGACAGACTTGGTGAGGGTGAGACTATCTCCCTATATTATGCCCATTTTAGTTCTTCAATTTCCTTTCCTCTAAATTTTCTCCCTTTGGGTCTCGACTGCTCTCTCTCTCTCCTCCTATTCTTTTTCATTTTCCCCTCAAAAAAAGGGGACCTTTTTTCAGTGGCTTCTTCTTTTACACTTGTTGAATGAATGAAGGTAGTAGCTTCGACTCTTTAAGTAATCTAGCAATTCTGGAAGAAAATTCAGTTTTTTAGAAAAAAAGGTCTTTTCTTAGTAGTACTAGTAGGATAATAGTCTTTCGTTTCCTGTCTGATTGCTTCCATTGCCAGAAGTAGAACGAAAGAAGCAAGTAGAAAGTAGAGTAGTTATCTTTAGCAGCTTCATGATGCAAAATATTTTCCTACCTACCCTATCTGTCCGTCTCTAATTAGTACTCGTGCATCGAATAATGGAAATGCAGCTAAACTCTAGCCTACCACTCTGAAATCAAAACATGGGAGAAGCAATGGGGCAGATAAAAGTAGAGGTAGTACACGGGAAAAGACTGGTGATCAGGGATTTCAAGAGCAGTGATCCTTATGTCCTTCTCAAGCTTGGAAATCAGGTTTTTTTCCTATGCATTTTACTACTCTCCTATACACCACCTTCTGTCATATTTTTCTTGATGCATTTGCATCATTCCTTTTTATTGCTTTTGCTTTCCTTCATTTCCCCCCCAAAAAACAATAATATTTTTTTTTTTTGTTTTTGTGTGCTTTTTGGTTTCTTACACAATTAGATGGGATATGAATTGCTGCAGAAATCACCATTTTATTACCTGTAATCAGCGCTACATCCTGGAGGCCTATTCCACATAATTTTGTCCTTAATAACTCTGCCTTATGAGATCTCCACATCTATTTCGTTCTTAAGCTGAATGTTGACATATTCGTGTCTGTAAATTACACCGCATTTTGAATTATATTGTTGAATGCATCCAGTTATTTTGTTTTACATTATCTCAAATCACTTTGCTCCATCAAGAATCAATTTTTGTATCCTCTTATTTGCAACAGACAGCAAAAACCAAAGTTATAAACAGCTGCCTCAATCCCGTTTGGAATGAAGAGTTTAGTTTCACCTTCTCTGAACCTGTTGGAGTTCTCAAGCTGGTTAGTTTCTTCTATTGACAATATCCTCTCTTGATCTGTGGCACGACTTTTTTGTTCCATTTTCATTTTCAAACTGTTTATGGTCCTTATTGAGATAAAGGACAACGTGAGTGCAGCCTCACCTCTGCATGAACGGAAGCTGTTTCTCCAGTTATTATACCTTAATGTTAAATGAATTTGTAATCCTATGTGTGGAATTAACCTTCTGCATCAACATGGATATATACCCGTATTGACTCACAAGCCTGCACAGGATTTTCAGTTGACATTTTGGATCAGTACACATGTAACAAACATTTAAGGGGAAATTTCATTAATTAATGGTATATTAGATATATTCATACGCTTGCATGTCATCAATGATAATGCGGCATTCTTCAACTATATAAAAATTTCCATTGATGTGTCATTGAGCTATGTACTTGTTGCCACATGGTCATAATTATCTGAAAGAATGTCTTCAACTGGTCATTCCATAAAAGACCAACTTTCTTGATGCTGCATGTACAATAACTGTATTGGAAAGTCAGAACATGAGATTGACCATGAAATAATTGATCCTTACTGTTTATAAGTGAAAATCCAGACTGCAGAGGAGAGGACAACTGAGGGAGTAAACAAATGAATCACTTTTGACAGCATACATCCTTCAAATCTCAAAACTTAGAATCTTGCAGTTGGAATAAGACTAAAGCTTGAACAAAGAGTTCGCATTGCCCCCTCAATTACATTTGAAATACCTTTTTCACTAATACAAAAGGTTCTGGATTGGGGAAGAATGGGCTGGTGGAAAACTTACCATTGTTAGATCTCAGCATGAGGAAATCGTGAAGTAGTCACCTTATATGCCACTGTTAATTTCCTAAGAATGATGTTCATATACAGTACAGGCCTTTTATAATTATAAAAATGGTCCAAAACAAGAATTGATCACAAAATGGTATTCTGGAGCTAGATTTAATTCCTTTTATTGTCAGAACATTCCAATTTTCAGTGGATGATAGTTGTGAGTACTCGGCTGTTAGTAAATGTTGAAACTGTCATCATTTTAATCTGAGCCAAAATGTAGGAAAAAGCTTCATTTTTATACCAGATTCACCATGATACCTGTGTTTATCATATATGTAACTCTGTATCTTGTGGCAATACTAAAATTGGTCTTCCAAATTGCTTCATGCTAGAAATGGGTTCAGTTAGCAGTAAAAAGGAATTTATGTAAAGCATTAACAGGAGAAGATACCCCATCATGATGATGTATTAGAAAACGATTGTAGGAGTGCCACTAAAATCATCCCCTGAACCTTGTCATTGTAAGGTAGGAAACTTCCATAGCTTCTCTCCTTTCTTTTTCATTTTCAGAACAATAATGAGCTAGATGTTTCTTGTCTGGTTGGTGTCTTTGGAGATAACCTGGCCATTATAGTTTGTAACTGCAAGCAAGTTAACAAAATTTCAAACAAATGCTGCTTACTGTACCCTTCAATCTGCTTTGTCTTTAGCAGCCTAGGCAAACTGCCACTCAAATTTCATCAAAATATGTGTTGTTGTAAATAAGTCCAATGAGGAGCTGCTATTTTCCACCCTCCTCCTTGAAATCTTTTCGAGACATCAAAGTTTGAAACACTTTGAGATTCTAATGTGGGATTTAAGCTTGTGAAGTTTTATATTGATGCAACCTGCGAAACAGGAAACAAAAGAAGGAGAAGAGAGAAATGGTAGATGGGAGTCGTACCCTCCATCTCACACTGTGGTTAGACTTTCACTATCTCCATTCTCTATATTGAGTTTTTGTGATGCTCAAGGTACATGTGTGCACTTCAACTAAACCAGGAGCTATTGCTGGGATTAAAAAGAGAAGTCATATTGCATATTTTATCTTTCATGTGTTCTAAAAGTTTGGCCAGAGAAGCACATTTTGTTTGTTCGTTGATGAAGGATGTACTCTTGTAATAGAAAAAAGTTTGAAGCTTAATTGCCAAAAATGAAATAGTAGAGACAAAAGAAGAACCTTTAAATCTGGGACATGAATGGCTATTGAACATTTGCTGAAAGTAATCATGAAACTAAAATGCTCACCAGTTAACAGCAACTGATAAAGCTGCATTTTCAATAGGAAGTGTTCGATAAAGATCGGTTCAAGTCTGATGACAAGATGGGACATGCTGAGCTTAGTCTTCAACCCTTAGTTGCTGCAGCGAGGCTGAAGCAGATTCTTAGCGTTGCCACTGATGGGATGACCTTGAGAAAGGTTATCCCTGAGAGCGATAACTGTCTAGCCACTGAAAGCTCCATTGTTTGGGCAAATGGTGAGGTGAGGCAAGATGTTTGGCTGAGGCTGTGTGATGTGGAATCTGGTGAAGTAGAGTTGAAGATCAAGCTAGTGAATCTTCCTGCAGTTTCCCCAGCAAGGTAGTGGGGGAGCAAATGTTCGGCACAAGTGTTTGATAACCCGTTAATGTGCACAGAAGCTGATGTCGACAGTTGAGAATCTCAGAGTCTAACCTATTCCAGCTATCCTTGGAGTAACGAAGATTTCAAAGTAGTTTGTAGAGGAGGATTGTTGTGTTTCAATTGTAGTTATGGAGATAGTGGGTCTAAGTTGCTATTCACTCACTGTGAAACATAATGGTTTTCTCTAGCATAAGATGTTAAAGAGGGTTGTATGTGAAATGCGTGCAGTGTTTGTCTCCGTAAATTTTCATTTTGAATTTGGCATTATCATCTGTGGGATGAGGCATCAGAAGACAGGGTAAAAAGGCTAAATATTGAGCAAGAAAATGCTGCGTTGTGGTTATAATTGTTTAAGGTAGATGAAAGTTGTGCCGATAAAGAAGTTGATTAGTGGACATGTGAGGATAAAAACCCAAAAAAAAAAAAAAAAAAAAATTTCAAAGGCGGAAACAGCTTCTGTCACTCAAGAGTCTTTGTTGGGGAAGCAGGTTTACAACATAGGGAATTTCGCCATTTTCGTCCCTAAACTTTTACACTAAAATCAATTTCATCCTTTATGATTTTTTTTTAGCCAATTTAGTCCTTCGACTATTTTGAAGTCTCTAATGTAGGACTTATGTAGGACTTTTGCGGCCGTGACACCACATTTTACATATTTTCTATCACTGGTGATGGGTATATCTGTCTTTTTAAATTAAATTCTTCAATTTAGATGGACTTTGATCATAGTTCTTCTTCTCCGCTAGAAACCTCATCCCATTCACCAGAAATTCCCGCAAACTCTCTCACACACTCAAATCGTGAAATAAAATTCACAAGAATAATTGTATTTAATGGGGAAGCAGGTTTACAACATATTGTATTTAATGAGTTCCATCTGACCAAATTCCATCGTACCAAACAGAAAGATGGCAAAAGTGATGATTGTGAACATGATCAAGACCGTGATTGAAGCTGCAACATTTAGAATAATCGATGGATCAAACACAACAGTAATAAAATTTGAGTCTTCAACCTGTAGAATAAAAATGATATGCTCCATTTGTCATTTCCCCCCTTTTACACCCATTTTATTTATTTATTTTTCCAGTTAACATTTGTTGTTGCTGTCGGAGAAGTAAGAATACTACTGCTGTAAGAAGAAAATCGTAGGCTGGCGGTGGCGGGTTACGTGTTACATATTGCAAGGGGAGTGGAGAAAGAAGCCGCGAGTTGTGAAACGACTCGATTGATAAAGAGAGATTCCAGAGGGCGCCGCTCCAAAAAGGGGAAGGGCGGTTAAACTTTTGATAGTGCTAGAAAACTAGTATCGCATTCGCATGACGACGGTGACGAACCTTATCCTGAAAGCAGCAGCAGCAGCAGAGAATGGTGAAGAAGACCCTGGTGGCGCTGTCGGTGGCTGTTCGGGGACAAGCAGCAGCAGCAGCCGCCGCCGTTCCACATTAGATTTGGATTTAGGAAATGGAAGCCAAGTGGTGTACGTGGCGAGGTTCCTTGGCTACCAGGAGTCGTGGGATTACTTCCACTATCTAAACAAACACATCCCTTGGACCCGTCCAACCATCCGCGTCTTTGGCCGATCTTCTGTCCAGGTAGGTGCATTACGCTCTGCCGTCTGTGTGGGTGTGAAAATTTTTTTTTTTTTTTTTAAATTTCAGATTCAATGTTTTATCATGCCGATGGTCTTAATTTGCGGGTTGTTGAGCGAGTTTTGTATGTGGGATTCTGAGATTCACCTGGTTTTCTTTGGTGGGAATACTTTGAAGATGTTGGGCTTTAACTCATAAATAGTATACTCTAATACTTTATGCTGGAATTGATTTCTGATGCCTGAATTCTGATGCTGTCTCCTGACTTGATGCCTTCTCATATTTTTTTGTGGGTCATGGGCCTAATTTAAACAAGCGCCCGCAGCCCCTCGCCCCCTCCCCCTCCCCTCTTCCTTCCCGGCTCAACAATTACACTTATGTAAACATTGATTAATCTTCATTACTGCGGCATTAGACTTGTAGCTCAGAGACACGACCACTTTTCTCTCGGCTGGAATTGCGATTTGTAGTCAATACTGAATTCAGACGTTTCTAAAATGGTCTGAATATCCAATTCAACTCTACACATGCTCCTCTAATTTGAACTAGTGCGGAGGAGCGGTTCATCGTTTCAAAGGGAAGGGATGCATGAGAAAATGCTCAACTCAATGGGGTTCAGGATTTCTGATTTGTCATTTTCCTCTCCACAGCCCAGAGATGTGTGCTATGTCGCCAGTGAAGGATTGCCAGACCTAGCATACAGCGGATACCAGCCTCATGCACATTCCTGGGATGAGTTTCCCCCACTCAAGGACATTCTGGAAGCAGTATGATTGGTGTTTCTTCATTTTGATGGATTTGGCATGCTGCATATATGTGTGCCTGACTAATTGGCAAACCACGCTGTTGCTATGTTATAGGTCCACAGTGCGCTTCCTGGGAGTTGTTTCAACAGTTTACTGCTGAATAGATACAAAGGCGGAAGTGACTACGTTAGCTGGCATGCTGATGACGAAAAACTGTATGGTCCAACCCATGGAATTGCCTCGGTTTCTTTTGGTTGTGAACGGGAGTTCTTGTTGAAGAGGAAGCCAGGCAAGAATTTTCGAGGTAGCTTAGCTCACTCAAAAAACTTGTTACTAGTAGTAGCGTTCTTTATGAAAAAGAACATTTTATTTCATCTTGTAATGGCAGCAGGCAAGAAGAGATCAGAGGGCAAAAGGGCAAGGGAGCAGGACAGGGTCGCTGAACAACACTCGTTCACGTTGAAGCATGGGTCGCTTTTGGTGATGAGAGGCTACACTCAGCGGGACTGGCTTCATTCGGTGCCCAAGCGGGCCAAAGCGCAATCCACACGAATTAATCTCACCTTTAGACTTGTTCCGTCGCACGCTGGTTGAACCACCTAATTATTAGTTTTTTTTTTTTCCAGGGTAGCGAAGCAAGGCTTTGCTTGCTCCTTTTGTGTTGAAATGAAATTTCGATATCACTCACTGAGGCTTTGCACGCTGGTTGGGGTGGTTCTGGACCTTTAGACTTGAAATTCTCTGTTTCCGAGCAAAATCAGTACAGGTTACCGTGAAATCAAAGAAGCAATTTTGTATCGGTCAAGAAATTAGCCTTTGTGTAGTAATGACACTTCTTAATCAAAGACCCGTCCGTCCGTGTTTGGGTAGAGTCTGGTCTTGAGCTTTGACATGCAGCCTGTTTATTTAACGTTGTTATTAAATAACCTGCTTACCAACTGTCCCAAATTCGGCACTTAAAGTTGCAAGTACTCGCTACTATTAAACCTAACCTACCTCAACCTGCCGTGCGGACAAACTCTCAATTGCTAGTTTGGTAGGTTTGACGTCCAAGCTGTTTTTTTTTTTTCCATGACGTCCAAGCTGTTACTACTCACTATTTATTCTGCGTACTGTGCTACTATGTGACGTCGATGAATTTATCCAAACTCGCACTAATCGATAACCACGACATTTAACATTTTGTAGTATTTGCATTTCCAACAAATATATATATATATATATAAAAGTTGCTAAAATTAGTACGCTCGCTCCGGATCATGCAGTGAGAATAGACTGCCACTTTGCCTTCTGTGTCTGCGTTCCCCAATTCCAAGGAAAGGGTCCTCCGTGTAGTCTTTGCTTGGTCTTTTCCTGGAGGCAGAGGGCGGCACGGACGGACTAATTTCAAGATTCTCTCCGCCGGAGACTGTTTTACCGTATCAGTTACACACCTTGGTTTTGGTGGGTCTTTTCTCGTTTTCGTCCCGATGTACGTTTATACTGCCTGCCCGGTTGCTGTTGATAATTAATTTCATTCTCTTGTTTAGAAATTAGAGTTGTCCAAGCTGTTACTCTATGGATACCTGTACTTCCGTATGAAAATAAACCTTTTTTTTTTTCTCTAACTTGCCTCCCAATTCTAAACTCTGAAAACATGTAATTTGCTCTCTCCTATAATCCTCTACTATTCCCAATTTTTTCATTTCCTCTGCTGAAAGAGTTTCTCTCTATTATTATCTTTTTTTTTTTTTGGCAGATCATCTTCATCTTGATCGGGGACTAGAGACCTCCATGGCCTATGCTACAACTGATAACTCTATTCAACCGAGAGGTCCTCCTCTGATTTTTTAGTTGTCTCTCTTTTTGCCTATCTTGTTTCATTACTACTGGTAGGTTATTTTACGCTTCACCAACTTGTTCCCGTCTTCTTAACCTAAATTTTTTCCATTTCTCATTTTCTGGATAATTGCTTGGGTCTTGGTCACAATATGGTCTACTATTACTATTACTGATTTCTGGGTTCCTTATTCTTTATGCTACTACTGCACGCTACTACGTTTGAATCTTTGGCACTTCTGCAAAGTGATACGTGAATCAGATATTGCAAGTTCTTGATCGTGATCCTTGCCCATGTTTTGCTCTTGAATCCTATCATACTGTGATCAAGTTCACAACTTCTTCTTGTTTGTTGTTTGGCGGGCTCATCACATCTGCCCTTTTTTTTTTTTTTTTTTTGGTTAACCATATCAAACAGATGTTTGCATTGTTGGAGTTGCCAGAACTCCAATGGGTGGATTTCTTGGCTCCCTTTCTTCTTTGTCTGCAACAAAGCTCGGCTCTATAGCTGTTCAATGTACGCAAGACTAATCAGTATACACCTGCAGCTCTCCAACTCCCTCTTTCTTTGACATTGTTACCATTTTTGCGTATCTGACCCACATCTTTAATGTTACAGCTGCTCTAAAGAGGGCAAATGTTGATCCATCTCTTGTACAAGAAGTCTTTTTTGGAAATGTTCTTAGTGCAAATTTAGGCCAAGCTCCAGCAAGACAGGCTGCATTAGGGGCTGGGTTACCATACTCGGTAATTTGCACGACCATTAACAAAGTGTGTGCTTCAGGAATGAAAGGTGCGTTCTTTATGTGTACCAACTCGCATCTCCAATTTGAAATGCCAATCTCAGAAGAAAATTCAAATTGAAATACTCTATGCATTCACCTATTTGTTGATTTGGATCTGACGTATCATGCTAAGTGTAATGAAAATTTAATTTCTCGTTTGGTCCAGCAACAATGCTTGCAGCGGAGAGTATACAATCGGGTACAAATGATGTGGTGGTTGCTGGTGGCATGGAAAGCATGTCTAATGCACCAAAATATTTGCCACAAGCAAGGTTAATCTTTCTGGTTAACAACTAAACCATGTTTTTATCTGGTTTTTCTGATTA